GGAATTGGCTGTAATAATCCATTTGCAACATTTTCTCAATACTTTCTAATTCTTCACTATGATCTATATAGAGTGCCAGAGGATTGAGTTCTGATTTTCATGAGATGACTAAATAATAGAAGTAGATAATAAAAAACATAAAATGGTTGCCTAACTTGAGTAATTATATAAAATTAATGTCATCAATTTATCTTTATTTTTAGGCACATATTTGACCTACACCAAACAGAAATTGAGGAATGACATTAGCATTCTTAGGTATTTTAGGGAGTTAACTGAGGGGGAACTCATCACAACTACCAGCTATGATTTGGGCAAAATTATTAATATCCTTTAATTTCAGTTTTTTTTCATCTGAAAATAATAAAACAAACCTTCTAATAGAGTTTTTTTTGTTTTGTTTTTTGTTTTTTTTTGAGACAGAGTCTCACTTTGTTGCCCAGGCTAGAGTGATGCCGTGGCGTCAGCGTAGCTCACAGCAACCTCAAACTCTGGGCTCGAGTGATCTCTTGCCTCAGCCTCCCAGGTAGCTGGACTACAGGCATGCACCACCATGTCGGCTAATTTTTTTATATATAATATCAGTTGGCAATTATTTCTTTCTATTTATAGTAGAGACGGGTCTCGCTCTTGCTCAGGCTGGTTTTGAACTCCTGACCTGGAGCAATCCGTCCGCCTCGGCTCCCAAGAGCTAGATTACAGGCGTGAGCCACAGCGCCCGGCCTCTAATAGAGTTTGAAAGAATTAATGCATTGTAAAGCCTTACCACAGGACCTGGCACTAAATAAGCATACAGTTACTTTCATTATAATAGGTTGTCTGTTCCTGGATTGGGGACAATGGTACCAAACCTGGGCATAGCCAGGTAATGTAATTGCCAAAATTTTTTCTCTTGTATTTGCTACTTGGCAGATATTGCCTCTGCCCTCAGTATCAGCTGGTTTGGAACCAAATGTGGCACCCAAATAGAAATAAGCTCTAAGTTGTTTAAATCTCTGACATTATAGAAAACAGGCATTCCACTGAACTAGCATTCTAAAGAATGGGCTTTATTATGGACAATTTTAGGAAATGAAAGAAAGAGAATTTAAAAGAAACTGGTAATCCAAGTCCTTACGATTATCATAAATGTTATAATCCTTAGCAACGCGAAACCTTCCCATATCATGCAAATTATAGAATTAAAATATTCACTCGTAAAAAGCAAAAATGATAGCCTCAGCCTCAAGTTAGTATGCACACAAGGTAGATTGTCCTCATTAGTTTCCCCTCAACTTGAATTAATAATTCACAAATATCCAATTTCTTACCCAGTGTTATTTTTGTAACACAATATAATAATATCTCTATTTCTTTAAAATGGATAAACTAAATGCTGCAAAATAAATAGGCTGTCTTACAAACTATACTTGGAAATTTAGAGAATGCTCTAAAATGTAGGTGATACTATATGAAACATTACAAAAAGATTCTTGCTATATAATGAAAATAATGAATGAGATCTTATCATCTCCACTTCTGTTTAACCAATATCTTTTCCCAATGTTTTTTAATGGCCTTTCTAACATAATATCTCTCTACTGAACTTGGTCAATTCTTTTTCTCTTCTAAGTAAGTTTATCTGCTACTTGACTACATTAACTCCTCAGATTGTTCTCCTTGTTAAATTCCACAGACTATTATTATAGCCTTTATTTTCCAACATCTTAGCTGCATTATGACTTTTGACCTTTTCTTAAAAAGGATCATTGATACACAACAATATTATACTTGCATTTAACTCCTTTAGAAATCATTTTGGCTTTTTAGTAACATATTTGTACTATATTTCTAAATTGACAATTCATGAGAGGTACACAATGCATTAAGAAAATCTTGAATAAAAAAAAGAAAATCTTGAATAGCAATTTTCTAAAATACTACATCTCTTAGACTACATTAACCTAATCACAGCACAAAGTTTAAATATACTGACATCAATGTGAAGAAATCATTTTATTGTGCATTTTAAAAACTTTATCTGAAATAATGATTCTTTTTAAATTGCTCAACTCTTCATTTAGTTGCTCTCCAGTAGTAACTGGAAAACTCATTTACTTAAAAATGATATAACAGCAAATTGTGGGTTGACCAAAATCAATGTTGAAAACAAATACTTTTGAATTCCTAAGAAAGATGTGACTAAAACTGCAAAAATGACGCCACATTTCACACTGCTGTGGTTCTGCAGGGAATAAAAGGGGATGTGAAATGAATGTCTGGTGAGGGAAATGAGAAATACCATGTTACGACAGAACAAGGGAGCACAAGGGCTAAAGGGTTGGCCTGAATGAGATATAGTTTGCTAATTCCTGCACGTAGGCATCCTGAAAAAATCTTTTACTAAATTCAATCACCACCCCATAATACATGTTTTTAGTTACATTTTTAAAGTTACATCTAAAAAAATGGCTGGTTTGAGAAGACCTTACAAAGTTGACATTGAGCAAAATCTGAAAGGATTAATAGAGTATGTAGAAATCTGGTGGGGAGGCAGCCCAGATATCCCAGTCACTTCAAACCAAAGATTCAAAGCTGAACTTACTGTTTTCCTTCTAATCAGCTTCTCTTTCTATATTTCCTATCTCTTTGAATTTGCCATTTATCTCTCCCACCACTCAAGAAAGAAATCTGAGATTTACCTTTAGACTATACTTTTCCATAACTCTGAACAACAATCTGCACCCAAGTCTTTTGATTCTTTCTCTTTATACCTCATAATGACTTCCTTTAGCTAATATTGAAGAACATCATTACTGCTTTTGTTTAGGCCATCGTCATTTTCTCTCAGATTTTCTAATATGCATTTTCTTAACTGGTTTTCCTGCCTCCAATCTTGTTTCCTCGCATCCATCCTGATGCTGCTAAATAATATTTGTGAAATGCAAAGTTTATCATGCCATTCTCCTGCTTATAAACTTTGCAGTTGTTTCTCATTATGGTCAAACCCAAACTCCTTATTGTGGTATGGAGGGTCTTAGGTGATTAGCACGCTTGCCTCGCCTTTCCACTTGACCTCTCCAGGTTTCTTCTCTCCATTTTAGGCAAATTTACTGGCCCTTGCTCTATAAAGTTCCTTCTAAAAGTGACCCTTTTCAACACTGTGTCCTTTTACACCGTTTGTACAAATTACTTGTAACAATGATTGGATCAAAGAAGGCATTAAAAATATGGATGAAATTAAATGTATATATTACTGGTATAGTATAAATATGGACCCCCTCCCCCCCCTGTCTAAGCTCTGGCTCCAGGCAGGAGGGTTCCTCCCTCTCTTAATGCTCAGAAACATCTTAGAAACTCCTCTTCAACTTGTAACTCAACATATTCTGATATTAAACACAAATAATCAGTCTTACATGTTTGGAAAATCATATGATTAAAAGGACAATAAAACCTAACCTTTCACAACTAAGAACTGATATTATGGGGGGATTCATGTATATACCATTTCCTCTATGTACTTGTTTTTTAGCAACAAAGAAAATTTCAGTTCCAGAATATATGAGCTGCAGAAATTATTAGCCACTTCTATTAAAGTTAATTTGAAGTTGAGTGAATCAGTCCTAGGAGCTTAAAAAGGAATCTAAAGTTAGTAATAGAAAATAAGTAAAAATAAAGAAAAATTAGCTTTACAAAACTACTCTAGTAGCATCTGGGAGGAGATTCAACTTGTTTATAAGGGAGTAATGAAAATGAAATCCAGGATCAACAATCCAGCCATAAAATCAACAAAGTATTTAACATATAAATGGGAGACCAAGAATAGAAAATATAATTTGATAAGTGTATCTACAGCAAAATAAAATAATTTGCAAGGTTCTCATTATGAGTCTAGTGGAGGCAGGAAACCTGTTTTCAACAAGCTACCTGATGGGAAATGAAAATTTACAGTACAGCAGTACAATAGAGGTTAAGATGTTATTAATAGTATTTCATCACATATTTCTTAGCATTAATAAATAGCAGTTGGAATTAGACTACTATATATGATTTCCAAAGGCTCATTCATTTTATTTTATAGATAATAGTTAAAAATAATTTGAATTTATTTGTTCTGATTATTATTCTGATATTTCCACCTATGACTGACTGTGTAAGAGTTACACTCTTGATAACAATATAAAATGAAAACTTTGCAAAAATAGAAATTAAAGATTTTTTAAATGAAATATTTTATACACATAAAAAGAGGCTTTTATTTAGAGAGGTTTTATAGATAGTTTAGTATGGCCAGTTAACTCTCTTGAAAGACCTTAAAACTCAAATCTCTTTTACTCTCTAGATGGTGAGCCCAGCCAGAGACTTACCAGAACAGGGAGAAAAAGCCACTGCTTTTATTAGATTTTATTATGCATAGCAATCACCTGGAGATGTTGGCACAAGGAGATTCTTACTCAGTAGGTCTGCAGTAGGTCCCTGGATTCTAGTTTCTAAAAACCTCTCAGGGACATTGGTGGTCCATGGACCATATGTTTGAATAGCAAGATCTGAATCAGTGGTTCTCAGCCTTGGTATCTATTGGAATCAAATGGATACCTTAAAAAAAAAAACAGCATTTCTAGGGGTGAAAGGTCATTTAGTTTGGGCTGCAGTCTGGGTATTGAGAGCTTTAAGAGTTTCCAAGGTGAGGCTAACATGCTGCTAAACTTGAGAACCAATAACCCAAAATGTATTTGTTAGATTTATTAGGCTTCATTTCAGTAATGCATAGATTATGAGTAACTCATGTCCAAAAATCTCCAAATTCTTATTGAAACTATAATTCATTATCTATTAGGTTCTAATTTTAAGAATCTAATAGATGAATGAAATAATGAAATGACTTCATTTCTATATTCCCTGTTAAATTATTTAATAACATCTTTTAATATTTTAAAGTTATTCATGGAATTATAATGAAATGACAATCTGAATTATTTTTAGATTAGGAAGTAAATATATAAAAATATAAATATATAATTTTAAATTATATGGAAGTGTCAGTTCCCAACCACATATAAAAAGGTTCAAACTAGTTAGAAAGTCTATAAAAAATCCCCAATCTATTACACCATGAGGAAGGACCACTGACACAGATAAGTTCTAAAACTTTAGTATCCCTACTTGAATAGCCATTTCTGATCCAGGAGTTACAAAATGAATGATCATTCTTTATAAGATCTTTCCTAATAATTTTGCTAAATTGAGGTTTGTAAAAAAAGGTCAAGGTGCAATTCCATTCCTAAGGCTACCACCCTTTTAGAAATGCACATCAAAAATAGTGAATAAAAAGAATATTTTAAACTCCAAGGTACTTGCAGAAATTCCATAGTTATAGTAAAGAATATTGGCATACAAGTCAGCTGCCACATACTAGTGATGTGACTTAAACTTTCTCAGCAGGCTTTTTAACACCTAAAATAGTCCAATAAGAATCTGATAGCACGGACTAATGCCACATACAAATATAAGATAGTATTAAATATAACTTTGACAAGTCAAAAATAAATAAACAAAAAATAGTGTGGCAATGTTTCAGTGCAAAGAACTGAAGTTCAGATTGAGGACTGCTCCAGCTTTGCCACTAATTAGCCATATAACAGGCAAATCACATACCTTAGTCTCATTTTAAAAATAAAAAGGCCTCAAAGAGATTATCTTGAGAACCTGTAGCAATCAAAGCTTTATTATCTGAAAATAACTGATTAAGTGGTCCTCTAAAGCAAATGACTAATTCTAATGAAAAACCACCAAGAATTTATTTTTAACATTAGTTTACCAAGTCTCTTAAGAAAAATATTATTTTAAACTTGTCTTCAACTCTACTAATTGCTATCATTTAAAATAGCAAAAACACTTAAATCCAAAAGAAAAGATGGAGTGTGGGGGGAAGTGGGGAGGAAAAGGGTTATTAAGTAAGAACACCAAGCAGAATTAAAATAAAGCAGTGTAAACTGAGGATACTGAGATAGTAAAAAGCTCTTTCTAAGCAAAAGTATTTAAAAGCACGCAGTGTGAGATTTGATCTATCCCAAACAATATACTGTATAGGCATTCTTATTACACATTGTTCTAAGTACTACAAATAACTCATAATTCCCATATAAAATTATTCTAATTAATAAGGATGTTAGTACAGAGAGATTATTTCCTTTTATTTTTTAGTTTGAATACATGTCCTGCCAACGACAAAATACCTAGTGTGGCCAAATACATAAGAAATCCCTGTGTCAATCAAAAAGTGCCACTCTTGCAGCTTTCTGTCACAAGGGTGCTGAGAAGTGTACTGTAACAATGATGGAGTGAGACACAGGTTGTCTCAATTTTCAGTTTCCGTCATTAATCCTCTTCAGAACTGGAATCATCCTCTTGGTCAGAGAGTTCAGGGACAGGGAATCGGAGAATGGCAGCTACCCCAGTCAGTTGGCTAAGCTGTTCCCCAGATACATGAAGACTAGAGAATATCCTAACCGTGCCTGCATTCTCTTTCACACTGTCCACCAGCCTCACATACCGGCTCCGTGTGGCTACATCCTGGTGCCTGAAGAGCTCATCACTGATGAGCAATGTGTCAATTGCCATGGCTTCATTGGCCTTCTCCACCTGCTTGAGTCCATAGAAAGCACGGTCAGGTTCATGTTGTAACATTTTATAGAAGTCATCCAAGGCTTTTACTTCCCCAGCAGCTTTAGTGTCTGAAAGGCGGCTAGCTACAGTAGGGTCACAAAGAGCCTCTTTCAGGGAGTACTTGTGTCCAGAGGAGGCATGTACCTAAAATTACAATTATAAAAGTTAGACAAACAGATCTCTCAGAACACCCATTAATCAGCCCACAATAACCTAAAGCTAAAAAGCACTAATAAGGCTTTATATGTTTAAGGATTTAAGCGGAGTTTACCATATAAATTTGCCAGATATTTAACAGTCCTATTTTCATTTCATTATCTCACTTAAAATTCTCCTCTTATTTTTCCAAGTTCTAAAACTTTACGAGTAGTTTATACCATTCCCTCTGCCCATCCTTAATTATCCCTCGATAAGATTGTTTTACCTGAAGAAATTTGGACCGGTTTTCCAGAAGCACTTTGTTATCAGTCTTCACTGCTTGTTGAAACATGTAGTCGCAGAACTGCTCCCTCACAAATCCTGGGCTTGCCACCAGGATGCACTTTACAATATCAAAGTGTATGTGACGCTGGATGGCCTGGACCACCTGTTCATAGAACCGCTCCAAGGCCCGGTCATGCTGGGAGCAGTTGCCTTTCCGTTTCCTAGGGATGTTCACCTCCACCTTGGCCCGAGTGAGGGTCATGCTAGGAGTGACTAAGCAGATATGGGCGAGGCCTTCCTGCATGACCACAGCCGCCACATCAGCGCTCCAGGCTGGGTCACAGGCCTGCTCGATGCGCTCCAGAACCACACTGTCCCACTGTTTCTTGGCCAGGGTAAACTGGCGGTTGGGCTCCAGCTCGATGGTGTGGTAAGCCCCCATCTTGACATACTCATTCTCTTGGATGTTGGTCCCCTTGACCCGCAGCTGGCAGGCCTGAGAGTCGAAGTCGATGGCTTCCACGCAGAGAGTGAGCGTAGTGCGCACCCGGTTGCTCCCCACGCTGCCTGTGGAGGACTCTGTCTGCACCTTGCGGATGGTGGAGGCGCGCAAGCTGTCGCCCACCTGCACCAGATTGTAAGTGTGCCACATGTCCTCAGGCTCCTCCGGGACCAGGGTCACCTGGCCCGCATTGTCCTTCTCAATGTCCTTCCTCACAAGCTTCATGTCCTTGGCGGGGGCTCACTGACAGAACAAGAAGGACCAAAGGGGTCCCCACCTGGGAAGGGGCACGAAGGAGGAAGGGAATGTAGGCCGGGAAGGGGGCGGGGCCCGGTTTCTACAGGCACTTGCCAAGCGGGGAAGGAAATACTTCTGCTGCGACTCATGCGGCCACGGGGAGCACTCGCGCTAGCCCTCTAGCCCTTCCTTCCTCAGAGTCCCGAGATACCGCAGCGAACACCTTACCCTTCGCGGTTCCCGCTGCCGGCACCGGAGCAAAAAGCCGCCGCAATGACGGCGCATGCGCAAGCCGCGCCCCGCCTCCCGACGCACGTTGTACGTCCCCAGCGGAGAGGAGGGGCCGCCGTTTTCGCGCGCGCAGGCGTACTAAGCGGAAAGGCGCTGGGAACGAATAAACTCTAGAGAAGGTGCGCGGGTTTTTTGGTGACAAGTCCTCTATTTTAATGCTGAACTTGAACTTCCTAACTTTTCTCTTCCATCCTGTTTGTGAAAACTCTGGGGAGTATGTGAGTGCAAATATTTTTTTTTTAGCTGGATGCAGTTGCCACTCTGCTCCTCCTCCCTCTGGGTAAATTAATAATGTATCTAAAAGTTAAAGGAGCTCTCAAAAGTGCAGATTTGTTCCCAGAGGTCCAAACTGTGCTCGGTTTTGCTCCGGCCTTGTCCGCACTCAGACGCTACAAGCCTGTTGGAGCTGGTATTTCCAGAAGAGTTTTTTTTTAAGAACTGTGGGTCACGTTCTGTCTGGGCTCTGAGCAACGTGCCCAGCTGTTTTCTGCACTTAGTTACCGTGTCTGCACGATTTAATTAACCCAGATGTTAAAGCACGGGCCCCAGAGAGAGAAGAAACTATGTGTGGAATTTACCCCTGGGTGGACTTCTCAGTTGCTTGACCTGATGTCCTGGGAATCGTAGAATCCGAAGCAATATCAGCTTTCCCTCGCTCAGTAGCCTGTGAAATGTTTAGGGTGGGGGTTGGGTCGCAGTCGCTTAAGGCCCCGTCTTCACTGCCAAAGCTAAGCTAAAAGTTGAGGGAGGCTGTGACTGACCCGATTAAGTAGTACAGAATTTATTTTAAAAACTTAACATTTTTTATTGGGGAGTGGAAGTTGAGAAGTGGGATTGCCTCTTAAAAAGACGGCTGAATCGCAAAAAAATGAAAATAAAAATAAATTTTCTTGGAAGTTAAGATAGGGTGGAGCGCCAAGGAATCCTGCACACGAATCTTCTAGTTATCTGTCCTATCTTATCCTGTGTGAGTTTGAAAGCTGAGTTCACCACCCTGAATGGGTGAGGCAGGGATGAAAGGAAGAAATCTGACTTTGTCACAAGCTTGATAATTTTAACTGAAGTCTCAATTATCTTTCTCAGAGATTGTCAAGGTACAGAAAGGTCCTCTACAAGCAGAAAGTCCAAATTAGAACCGTCCCAGGTAGAACCTTTTTTTTTTTTTTTTTTTTTTTTTTTGTCTCTCTCTTTACCTTCCTCCATCCCTCTTCCTCCCCACCTCCCAATCATACTGAGTGCCCTCACAAAGTTCCTTAACTCACTTTGCAGCCTTCCAATTCCAAGAGAACACAGCAACGTTTCACTAAGCAAAGAACTGGTCACGCTGAAGCCCGAAGGTGGTTTGCCTTTCCAAAGGACACTGTATCTTTTTAAAAAGATCTTGTTAACTCAAAATTCCTAATTGGTAGAGTGAAAGTGTACATATGTGTGTGTATGTGAGAGAGAGAAAGAGGGAGAGAGATAATTTTGAGCTGGGGTCTTTGAAGTGCTCTTGATCACCTTTCTAAGTCCAATTCATCTCTTTCCATACATAGTCTGCCAAAGATTAAAAGCCACAAAATCATAGCGGTAGGCACTCAGTAGGATCTGAGCAAAAGGTTTTTATTGAAGAGCTGTCACTTATTGAATATTCATCAATAAATACTTTCCTCCCCATAAGGTAAATATTTGTTATACTCATTTTATGGAAGAAAATGAATTATGGGGAAGTTAAATGTTTTCAATATCAGGACTACATTCAAATTCAGACCTACTTAACTCCATACCTCTCCTATTACCACTACCACCATATTATATATTATGGATGCTTGTAATCATCTCTGCAACTGCAAATTATGTGCAGTTATCTACTCACACTTCCCTCAACTGTCACTGTTAACAGTTAAACCAAACCCCACAGCTCAGAAACCAACCTGGAGGATTTGAAAGGGACTAGTCCCTTCCCTGCTCTTTTATCACCTCTTAAAATCATTATATTCTTTTCCACATCAGTTTTTCTTCTGCCCAGCCTAGGTCATCATAAAATCTTTGAGAAAGATCTACTTTTCGACTTTAGAAAAAAATATACATATATTTGTTTCTGCATTCGAAGCCTGTGGAAAACTCATATTGACTCTTAATTCCATGGTTAATTTTTTTATCATTTTTTTAAAGCCATGAGTCAAACCACTTTGGACTTTTTAAATATCATTGTGCTTCCGTGATTGAACATACTACAAAATCATAGAATTACTATTTGATCTGAAACATCTGCAAGAGTTGGAACTCTTGTGTTTTTTATTTATTAGTAACTTGAGCTTATTGTTGAATGATCAGTGATCAGATATTTTCTCCCAGATTATGTGTTGTGGTTTAGTATTTCTAGACCAATCATTATACTTTTATTTGGAATTATTTGGGGGTTTCTATTCCCTATTAATTAAAATCCCAAATCCCTAGCATTCACACCTCAGTGCTCTAGCCTTACAAACTATTCCACCTACCCCTCAGGTCACCCTATATTCCACCTTGAGTGTAACCTTTGTTTTCTATACATATTAAGAACTTTCAGCTTGCTGCCTTAGCTCATACTGTTCTTGCTATTTAAAATGTCACTTCCTTTCATCCCTGCTTCCATAAATCCTACATACTTTAAGGGCCAGCTTAAATGTTATCTCAAACTTGAAAACATGTATTATATTAATTGGAATACATATCTTTTCTTTCTTATTGAAATCTGGATGGATTCATCCTTGTACCTCTTCATTGTCCCTTGAAAGGTCCCTTGCACCTAGTAAGCACTCATGAATGATAAGCTAGGTGGGTCAAATGTAAAGTATGGCAGCTACTTTAACATTATTATGGATACCTCTTAAGGCACTTACATTGTTGACTGTAGTTCACTTAATTTATAATAAAAATAGTAGTTTTAAAACTGCTATGGTTATATTTTCACTATTTTCCAAATTAAACAGAATCATGAGGAAAAGGCCATGGTTTAGCTCTGTTGCAAATAGAAATTTTTAAATTACTAACTTTAATTATATTTATTTTTTCTATAATGTCTCATTTATACTAATCTCTGTAGAAGAAAAAAAGAGTCAATATTGTTACCTCCAAAAGCTTTTAATTTGCTTCTTTTGAGACATTTCCCCTAACCTCCATTAACCCCAGTGTTTTAAATTCTATATTGTAAATGAGATTATTTGTCCTGCTTCTCTCATTTGACAGTCCTTATGAGGTTCTAAGGAAATTATACTACTTGATACATTGTAGTGCTCTAAGAATGCCTGGCTTGAAGCTAAAAATCTGGATCAGACAAAGCAAGAGACAAAGGTTCACTTTAACATGATCATGATTATTTGGCCTTGGAAACATAACTGATTTGAAACAGTTGACTGACAGATAATCTGTTAGGTACATTTATTTATTTCAGCACCTTCTTTCCAGGGAAACCTTAGGTCAGCCCTACTGAATGAAATGGTTCATGTGCCACATTGGCAAATTGGATTACAATCTTTCCTATTATAATAATATGTTAGAAATAGTTTGTATGACAATAGCAGGGATTTGAGGGTTCTGAAGGGTAGAAATCTTGTTTGAATAATTTGTGCTTAGCACAGAGACCCTTAAAAATAGTAGGGGATGTATAAATTTTCATGTTTCCATCTCGTATTTTATTTTTTTTTGCAAGACTTACTTTCTTGCAGCACAAACCTGATCTTTTTCCTCCTCTGCTTAAAGCACCTTAGAAACCCCTCCCATCATTGCTTCTCTTATCTCTTCCAGACTCTGGTGCTCCTTGTTTATCTTTGTGTTCTTGGAACACAGCACAAGAAGTAGTAAATAATCACATTTACTTTATGAAAGAATGAGTGGTTATCAGTTTTCCTTTAACTCAGAGTTTTTAACTTGGCTATCACTGACATCCTAAAATTAGGAAATCACATTCTGTTGTATAATGTTAATAAAAAATAAAATTAAAAAGGACAATTATTCTTAAGGCCAGTTTCTACAAATCTATTCCAATTTTTGAGATATCTATGCTTAGCTAAGAAAACGGTGATTTTAAATACATTTTAACTGAGGAAAAGTTCTTAAAGTGTTTTAAAGTAATGCATAAAGACAATTACTTTTATTATACATGGTTTAGAAAGTGAACTTTACAGAATAAGTAGCCAGATCTCTGATTATGAACATCTAGTGATATATGTGATCATTCATTTAGAGAGAATGTACAAACCTCAGATTGTACAAAGGCTCCCATGTGACCTTCACAAGTAAAGATAAGTGGATGACTGGGAGGATATTCAGCTAATACAGGCAAAAGGGTAAAAGGTAAAAGGGAAAGTTTCGGGGTTTTTAAAGGAACTTGTTGTACTCACTATCTAAATTTCCTGTGATTCAAAGGCTTATTTGCAGTTGTCACAAAACAATACAAAAGTTCTTACCAAATAAAATCCTATAAACAAAAGTGTGTGTTTCTATTTCCCTGTATCCCTATATGGTATAAGATAATTTTACCAAAAATATTACAATAAAATGTATAACTCAAATATTTTTAAGGGATAGTCCAATACCCATGTATTTTCAGACTATAGTATTTGGCAAACTAAAAGTGTAGCTAACAAAATAATTTTGAAAGTACATTTAATTTGTGTTAAGAGTACGTGATTTATAATAAAATGTAAAATATCTTAACCATTTGATGTTCTAATATGATTTAGGTGCTCTATTCAAATTTAAGAATTTGCATTTATTTCAGATCTCATATAATTAACAGAAAAAGTATAAGTCTTCATTCCTTTTGATATTTGAATTACAATGATTTTTTTTATTAATTCAGATTTCTCACTTATCTCATTTAGAGGGATCTTCTGTTGGGATAAAACAGAATTAATGTTTTGCACATAAAGTGAATTCTTAACACTAACCAGAGTATGCATTTTAATTTCCTTTTAAAACTTTGTTGACTTTTTAATCTTCCTTTTAAATTATAGAAAAAAGTTAGAATAAAATTAGGCTCCTTCATATACATATAGTCCTTTGCTCACCAATAAGAGGATAGAAAGCTAAGAGTTTCCCAAAAGTAGAATCATTAATTATGCGTAACTGGAAGATTCTTTGATTATTTTATTATCACGTTTCTCCTGAGGCTTCCTTCTAAAGGTACAGTATTCAAAGGAAGCTCTGTTTTGGAAATCTGGTGAGGCTGCTGGTGCCAGAGGAACAATTATCCCGAGTCAGATATATGCTTGGCTCTGGAAGAGAGTAACAGAGGAACAATATTGATATCTTTCTATCTAGAAGGGATGTCAGACATTAGGCTCTTTGAAATCTTATGATATATCAATAGTTTTTAAAGTCCCAAGAAATGTGATAGAAAATTGCCATGTAGCTATATTGTATATTATTGATTATAATTTTCAGATGCCCATTTCCCCATATTTCAATACCTCTGGAACTAGGATGAATCTAATAATCTAGCAATAATAACTGGATTGGTGGGGCTTGTCTTTCTTAGTGGTGTATAGAATAATGAGGCATCTTTCAATTGCTAATGTATTTCATTCAATTAGATATAAATATTCCAGGTGGGGGATATAATTAAAGGGGACAATATGATCCCTGAAGCATTTTATGAGTCTGTCTATAGTCTATTCTTTTTATGATTCATTCAATAAACAAGTGCGTATTACTCCTAGGTGCTAAAGTTAATAAACAAAACCCTGCCCTCACAGAGCATATAGCATGTGGGGAAGACAATCAGATATTTAATTATAATATCATATGCTACATTATATTATAGAAGCAAAGGTGCTGGGGCACACATTTCCCTGGGGGAGGGTCCAGTCTACTGGGGGGGTGTCTTTTGGAAATCACATTCATGTGGGGACATAAAAATGAGTAGCAGTGAGAGTGACTACTAATCCAAAGACCCCGAGGAGACTTCAGAGGAGCTGGCACCATACAGGAGCTGAAAGAAGCCCAATAATCTTGAGGATAGGAATATGTGCAGTCATTTGCATCTCTTGACACTCTACTGTACTGCTTTGAGAGTGAATACAATTCTCTAGTCATAGACTGCTCTGAATAGGCAATCTATTCTGACTTTAGCACTGTAGCAACAATTCCAAAATATCTTTCATCTCAGTTTTTTAACATGAATTCAAGTACAATATTTTGTATTTTATAAAACAGAAGAGAAGTACAGGTAAAGAATAGCATTTTGGTCCCCAATTTTTATGAATATATTTTAAACATGAACAACTTTATTCTACTAAAATATTTTAAGAGGCATATGGAAATTTGGTAAGTTCTAAATCTAGTGAGAAGTTTGTTGAGTTGGAGAAACAAGTAAAAGGAGCACCCATCTACTGAAGTAAGATCAACAGTGATAAGCTGAGGCCCAAGAGTTCATGCTTCCAAATAGCTAGTTAGCATCATGATAGCAGGGAAGAAAAGTAGGTAAACTAGTTTAGCAGATATATATAATTGTTATCCTCATTGCCTCTTTACTATACAAACAGAAATCCTATGAATTCATTGCTGCCTTTATAGACATCATGATGACTAAGAAAATTTTCACAATCTTCAGTAATTCTGGATAATACATTGTGTGCCATCCGAGGTCATTTCTGTGTTTTGGCTGACTTCCTCCCTATATTCAAAAAGCTCCCATCTCCTCACTGGACTTAGTTTTGAATAGGAAATCTTGCTTGTGAAAAAAGTCACAAAAGAGGACATGTATTTCTAGGCCAACCAAAATGTTTCTAGGGAGGAGATATAATTCAATTAGGAGTAATTCTATATTTATATTCTTAATAACCAAAGGTAGTCATCTTATTTGAGTTACACTTAATGTAAGGTATTATCTAATTTCACCATACATCTAAAAATCATGGTGATAACAGACTAACTTTCATCACTAATTAGGTCTTTATCCAAGTCTTTTAGACAATTACGTTTGGATTTCACATTTAGAGGGGTGAGCAAGAGAGCAATCGACTTATATTTAGGCAGCCTGTATGTCATATTATTTCAGAACATGAAATTTGAAGACAGAGATCTGAATTGAGTAAATTTGTCATTTACTAGTTGTGCAATGTTGGACAAATGAGATTAACCTCTTAGTACTGTACTTTGATTTGTTTTTCTGAAATATGGATAATAGTTACATACTTTTATTATTTTAGATTAAAATGAAATAATAAATGCAAAGTTCTTGGCACAGGGCCTTACACATAGTATGTTTCAGCATTAAGTTGTGCTAATTATTCCTGGTTATTAACTGTTTTGGCCTTTGTTCTCTAGGAGGTTGGATCTTCCATTTGGGCATGGCCAATGGGAGGGCTGGGCAAGACATTAGAGGGTGGGAGGTATGGGGATGGATATTTATTTCCCTTACCCCTTCCCTGTTGGACTTCAATTTTGGCACTAACAAAATTCCTCTATTTACGGTCACGACTCTGGTCCAACAGCACCTGCCACCACCACCAACGATAGCTAGAGTTCACAGTCAACTACTAATAACACTGCCACCTCTTCAGGGCTAGGAATGGTCACGGTTTTTCTTCTCACTGTTGCTTTAGGTGCTTTGTTCCCACTGTTGCTTGTCTAAGTGTTCCACAGTCTTTTCTCATTCCTTTAAGGTCTCTGTAAACTTCCCCTTTATGCAATTTTCTTCAGTTAAATCCTTTATATGTGCCACCAGTTTATGCTGGGGCTTTGACATACATAAAAGAACAATACAGACTTTATTTGGACTTAAGGAAGAACATCTTTCTTGACAAATCATTTTACTAAATGTTAGAGGAAGTTAATACAAGAAGTTCTAATTCTAATGAGAAGTTTATTCGGATGGGGACAGTTTGTTGTGCTGATGTAAACCCAGCTTTGAAAGCTGTAGAAACTTTGTTTATATGGCAGCGGGTGGTGGGAAGGAAGGGTGGAGTTATTTTCTAGACACAGAAAACAACAAGATCATATCTACAATGGCAAAATGAGCATGAGGGTTATGGAGAAATTAAGGATATGGGTTTGGCTGTAATAGGCAGTTTATGTGTAAGGGTTGTGGTAGGCAGAATAACTGTCTCCCAGAGATGTCCACGTCCTAATTCCTGAAACCTGTAAATATGTTACCTTAGTTGGCACAAGGGCCTTGGCATATGTAATTAAATTAAGAATCTTGCAATGAGGAGATTATTCTGGTGGGCCCCTTGTAATCACAGAGGGATCCTTAGGGAGGCAGGCAATAGGGCAGAGTCAGAGGAGATGTGACGATTAAGCAGAGTCAGAGAGAAAGATCTGAAGAACTCTTCTGGTTTTGAAGATGGAGACAGGGGCCACAAGCCATGGAATGTAGGTACCCTGTAGGAGGTGGAAAAGCAGGGAAACTGATTCTCCCCTAGAGCTTCCAGAAGAAATGCAGCCCTGGTGACACTTTGGTTTTAGTCCAGTGAAACTTTTGACCTACATAACTATAAAATAGTAAATTTATGTTGTTTTAAGCTGGTAAATCCAAGGCAATTTATTACAACAGCAATAGGAAACTGACATAGGGGTAGCTGGAGATAGAGAGAGGTGCTGAATTAGGGCAGTCAGTTGAGAATTTTGGATTTTATCTTAAAGATAACTAAAAAACACCAACGATTTTTGACTAAAACCTCAGATATAACGAAAACGGTGTACTGGGAGGGTGGATTCAATGTTGGGTTCAGATTGGAGACACGAAGATGAGCTTTACAGTATTGTGCATGGATTGTTAGCGTGATGAGACCTCAGATTAGGTATGAACTCTAAGAATTGATGAGAAGTTTCCAAATATGAAAGAGATTGGTAAGAAAGAGCTGACACAGTATGATGACTGATGAGGAAATTAGCAAAGGAAGAAGTAAAATTTTAGATTCTTAATATTGTGTTGTGAAATGGGCATAAATATAGAACAGTTGAAGAGCTTGTTGATTCTGAAACAATCACTTTTTTAAATTCTAAATTTCAATAGAATTGAATTATACACACTTACACATGGAATCTGAATATTATAATTTAGAATTATTTAGCATTATTTTCTTTCAAGTCCCTTCTTGGATTCAGCAAGGCATCATATTCCACCAACATATATATGAAATTGTAACTTGTTAACATCTGTTATTTTAAGTTTCATTATGTGTTTTTAGAGGATATGCAACCCTCATTTGATCATTTCTGCACTAGAGACTGCTTATTTGGTAAAATGAAAAAGGTACAACTTGATTAGTTAGTAAATTACTATATTCAGATTTTGCACAAAACCAACAATAAAATGCAAACAACCCTCAAAAATTTGAGTTGAAGTGGAATCATAGGTCAAATATGTGTGAAGGGTAGTGACAGTAGCTGGTAAGTTAAACCACTCACTGGCTGTAATGCTGTTTTGCAGTTACCACTGTTTGGATTACTGGACATTTCCTGAATAGTGGAAAATGTCTGGATGGAAAGCCAGTGGCTCATTATTAACTGTCTTTACACCACCTCAGTATGAATAAAGCTCAGCCTGCTAGTAATCCATTTCTAAGTGATCTTCATAAAAGTTAACAATGCTTGGCCATCTAAGGCAGGACTAAACTGGCTGGTTCTCCTCTGTTTTAAATGGTAAAGATACTCAATTAACTAGTAGTAATAAGTATGCCAGCAGTGAAAATACTGAACAGTTTAATATCAATGATATGCTAAAGCCAACCATTAATTAAACCATTAATCAGGTGATTTTCTATCATACAGCTTCTATCAATAAGCTTTCACCCATCTGCCTTCTGTTTTTCACCATTTCAACTCGCCCCCATCAGTAACTGGTAAAAAAGATCTGACCATAGGTAAAATCATTGCGGAAATCTTAGAAAATGCTCTAATTCAACTTTTTTTTTTTTTACTAAATTGGATATAACTTTGCCTTGCTACTGTGTTTTTTAAGTCCCCTCCTTAAAAAAATACATATTTATACACAAGTAACAATACTATATTTTGTATCTTAAAAAAAAATCCACACCCTGGTATTTACAGAGTAAATGTTCACCGTTCCTTCCTAAATTTCAAAATGTTCCTCCTCTTGGGTACTGATATAGCGATATCATTTAGGGACAAGCAGCAGTTTTCCTTTACATCCCTCTTTTCTTGTTTCATAGCAGAAAAGACTGAATTACTAGACAGCAAGAAAAGGCAATAACGTCCACTCTTAAACAACCAGAGTGCAGGAGCTTTGCACATAAATCAGGTGACTTATAGTTATCACTCCTAACTCCCGCAAAAAAAGGGGAGGAGGGCCATTTAGCAAAGTCCTAAAATACAATGTATATTGTAAAAATCAAAACAAAACAAACTTTAATTTGAAGAGTCAATTCTCCCGTATAGAGTTTTCAGCACTGCCTCACTCCTCACTCTTGGGGTGGAGGGGTTCCAAGTGACACCAAAGCTAATCCCTGCCAGAGCCCGAACGCGAAACTCTTTCCTGTACACTAAGCGGGCCGGACGAGCCGGAGTGCCCGAACGCGGACGGGCGCTCCGTCCTCGCCCGTGGACCGCGGCTCTGTGTCCCTCCCGCCCTCGCCAAGCCCCGAGCCCACGCGCGCAGGAGATGCTCGGAGAAGAGCGGAGTCGCTCACCGGTGAGGAGCCCGCAGCAGGCGACAGCGACCCCTGGGCTGGCGCGGCGCCGGGGGGCCATGGCCGGGGCGGCCGCAGCCCCGGGGGCGCGCTGGTGCGGAGGCAGGACCTGGCGGGACCCCGCGCGGACGCTGCGCGCTCGGCCACTCCGCCGCGGTGCTCGGTCCGTGGCCCAGGAGCGGGAGAGGACTGATTTCCTGTGTTTCCGTCGAGTGCCTCTAAATTCGCTCCACGCTTTTCACATCCCAGACGGATTGCCACATCGCCCGCCCCTTCGCGCTCTCGGTCTCTGAAATCCCACTGGCAGCCTCCCAGGCTGTGTCCGAGACATGGACAAATAAAGCCAGCTTCGCGGGCCCGTGTTTAGGCTAAAGTCCACGGGCTGCAAAGCAAACCTTAAAGGGACATCTGCCTTTCATTTAGAGGGTGATCCCGCTCTCCGTGCCAAATCCCTAAGGTGGTAGGAAGGCGGGCGAGGGCTGGACCTTCGGGAGGGTGTCGCCAGCTCGCTGGCTCCGCCTTCGCACCCCTCACCGCTCCCGGTCTGGGCAGGAAGGGCGCTCTGGCAGTGCCCTGTCCGGGCTCCTCCGCCCTTAAGAGGAGGCTGCTTTCCCGGCGGTCCGGCTGCTCGGAGAGGACCAGACGGTCGGTGGAAGTGTGCGCACCCTTGACCTTCACCGTGAAGTCGTCTCGCACTGGAAGGGGCGTCCTCACCGCCCCAACACGCCCCACTGAGGGCTTTGCTTTCGTTTATAGGGTTTGCTTCCTTTATGGTGATTCGTGATTAGAAGGTGGTCGCAGATGAGCTCTTCTTTGGCAAGACTATGATAAGGGGGGAAAGGGAGAAACAAGACTGGGAGGAAAAAAGTAAGAGGAAGAAAGAGACAAATGAAAGAGGGAAGCAGGAGGAAAACAAGGGAGGGAGGAAAGCAGTCTCCTTAGAAATGGAATGTGTGTGGGCTATTTTGTTTAAGCTGAATTAGAATGTTTGTACACTGGGAATTGAATCTGATGAACTTGGGGAATTGCTTCGTTTTTTTTTTTTTCTTGCCACAGACTTTTATGAGTAAAACTGCATTAAGTTGTGTTCATGTTACTCCTCTCTGATGGACTGGGGACAGAAGTACTTAGGAGTTTGCAATGGTTTCTTTGCCTGGTGAGTTGAACAGCCTCGCTAAGTCAAAAGCCAGATTCCAGATTCACATCTTAGCTTCAAAGAAGACTTGATATTTTCCTATTTTTTTTTAATTTTTTTTAAGAGGCGGGGTCTCTCTGTGTTGTCCATGCTGGACTGTGCTCACTGTAACCTTCAACTCTCACTGGGGGTAGGGAACAATTGCAGGTAGCATGCCCTAGAGCAAGCACGTCATGGAATGCATTCTTCTCAGAACTATAGCTGGAGGGCTGGGTGCTATTTTCGTCTTAGGCTATTTTCCCAAGGAGGCCCCGTGCATAGGACAAGTTCGTTGGAATGTGGAGGGTCTTAGTCTCCAACATTTCCCCCTATCTTTATTAATATGAGGGAGATTTAAACAGGTTGGTGGAGAGCCTGTCTTAGGCTACGCGATGGGCTTCCGCGACCAGCACCCCAAATATAAGATCGGACGATCGAAATGACGGTGAGGCCTCTGTCTTAGGCTATGTAGGTGGCATCCAGCTCCGGCACTTCTGATTATGAAGTGTGTCCCCCGGGCATGGACCTACAATATTCCCATCATGGAGTTACCTCACTGCTGGTGGGGGTGTGCACCTGGTACTCGGCATCGCGATAATCCCATCATGGGCGTCTCCACAGCCTTTGGAACCAACTGCGTTCCATGTCTGAGGCAAGGTTAGAAAAATTTAGACCCTCTGTGGCTGAATGGGGAGACTCTGTATGGAGGTCTTCTCTGGAGCCTCTTTGTTCTAGCTGTTGGTAAAACACGGAGACCGATTTTTGTGGCGATCGACTGCGACTTACACAAGTTGTTAGTTTTTTGAATGCCAAGCCAAAATGAGAAGAACAAAAATCTCAAAGCCCCCAAGACACAGGGAAGCAATGTGATAGCCGAGTGGGAGTGGTGGAAAAACCAATTTTGATTACCATGCCTCACTTGTTGCCTGCGTCGTGTCTATTTTAAGCTGAGACTTGTCAATGATCTTTACCAGGCGCATGTTTGGTCTGTGTAGAAGCAGCAGTCGTCTTGATGCTGCGCAGCAACCTCCTCTTGAGGAACATACGTCTAGCCTCTGTTCTATTAACACTACCATCAGAGAGCGAGCGAGACTCCTTCAGATTTGGACCGTGCTGTATCTCTAGTCATACGATCTACAGAGAGCTGTAGGATTGTTGATTGAGGACTAGAGAGCTTGGCCTGTTTCAGGCCCTGTGGACAGCGAACTAGTCGGGATGGCCGATGATCTCTGGTATTCTTTGTGC